CTCGGAAAAAATTAGTTAAAGTTCTTATCAAGCATGAAACTTTGAACAATATCAAATTAGGCCATATCGTAAATCGGTTAGAAAAACGTTAGGTTTCAAAGAACTAATCGGTTCCCAAAATTCAAAGAACGAACAAGTTCCCAAAAAAATGAAGTTTTTCTAATCAAGCTACTCAAGCTATTGAACATTGAAAAAATTTACAATTTTTCAAGAAGCAAAAAAAATGGGGAACCTTTAGGTTTTCTATAGGAGCTATTCAAGCAATGAAATATTGAATTAATCCAAATGTTTCATCGAACAAATCAGTTCGCAAAAATAGTAAATTTATTTTAGGCAAGCTATCAAAGCAAACGGACTACGAAAATGTTCACGTTCTTTGACGGATTCACGTTATCAGTTGGTCAATAATTAGTTTTCTTTAATAAGCTATACAAGCTAAGAAACTTTTAAAAAATTACTGTTGTTCCACAGAACGAATCAGTTGGCGAAAAATTAAAGTTTTTCCAAGCAAGCTATAAGAACTATGCAACTTTGAAAAATTTCAAGTTTCTTCACACACCAAGTCTGTTCGTGTATAGCTTTAAAATTTTCTAAGTATGCTTTTAAAATATGAAATTTTGAATTGTTTCAAGTTTTTTCGTAGATTGAATCGGTTCGCGAAAACTTTAGGTTTTTCTAAGCCAGCTTTTCAAGCTATGAAATTTTCAAATACTTCAAGTTAATTCATCGATTGCCTCGGTTTGCGAAAAGCTATAAATTGTTCGAAGCAAGCTATTCATTCTATAAACTTTTGAAATACTTCAAGTTATTCCGTGGACCGATTCGGTTCGCAAAAATTTCAAGTTTTTCTCAGCAAGCTTTTAAAGACATGAAAAATTGAAGTTTTTCGTCAAGTTATTTCGTAAATTGAATCGGCTCGCGAAAATTTTAAAATTTAAAATAACTTCTAAGCGACATTTTTAAGGTAGAAAATTTGAAATATTTCAAGTTTTTCAGACAGCGAATCTGTTCGCGAAAAGCTTCAAAGTTTTCTATACAATTTTTTTTCAAGCTATGAAGTTTTGAGTTATTTCAAGTTATTGCATAGACAGAATCGGTTCGCGGAAGTTTCAGGTTCTTTTAAGCAACCTATTCAAGCTATGAAACTTTGAAATATTTCAAAATACTTCACACACCGAATCTGTTCGCGAAGAGCTTCAAAATTTCTAAGCAATTTTTTCAAGCTTTGAAGTTTGGAATTATTTCAAGTTATTGCATAGACAGAATCGGTTCGCGGAAGTTTCAGGTTTTTCTAAGCAACCTATTCAAGCTATGAAACTTTGAACTTTTCAAACTGATTCGTCGACCCAAGCGGTTCGCGAGAATTGTAAGTTTTTCCAAGCAAGCTATTAGAACTAAGCAATTTTGAAATATTTCAAGTTTGTTCATACACCGAATCTGTTCGCGAAAAGCTTTAGGATTTGCTAAGCATGCTTTGAATTGTTCAATCAACACGAAATTATTTCACACATGAAGGCTTCAAACTCATGACAATTGAAAACACGTCAAACAAAAATTGCAATCAAGCAGGAAATATCGGTGAAAAAATAGGCAAAAAAACTAAGAGTACGTTAAAATTATTCAAGCAGAATGGCGCAGCCGAAGCGTGCTGGGCCAATAACTCGGAGCGCGGGATCGAAACTACCCCCTTCTATATTAGAATCTTCATGTGCACAAACCCAAATCCAATATACTTTGAGATATTTTAAATCTTAAGATTCTATCTCCTCTAAGATTAGATTAAATAGTGCAACCCAACATGAAATCTAATTTCAATTCGAAAGCCAGACAGCAAGAAAAATTTCTGCAGATCAAAATCAAAAATTGAATGACTTTTGAGTTAAATATTGATTACACACATTTTTGATTGAAAGAAAAAAAGTTTTATATCCATTATGAAGGCTTAAAACTCATGACAATTGAACAAACCTCAAACAAATTATGCAATCAAGCATGAAAATATCTATGGGGAAAATATATGAAATGAAACTAAGAGTCCGTTTGAATTATTCAAGCAGGATGGGGCATCGGAAGGGTGCTGGGCCCATAACCCAGAGGGCGGTAGATCGAAACTGTCTACAGCTGAAATAGAATCTTCATGAGCACAAACTCAAATCTAATATACCAAGTGATTTTTTTAAAACACAAGATTCTGTCTCATCTGAACTTTGAAAAATTATTGCAACCCAACATGAAATCTGATTTCAATTTGAAAGCCAGACAGAAAGAAAAATTTCTGCAGACCAATATCAAAATTGAAAAAATTTTGAGTAAATTATTGAATACACACATTTCTGATTGAAATAAAAAAACGTTTTAAATCCATCATCAAGGCTTAATACTCATGACAATTGAACAAATCTCGAAAAAAAATGAAATCAAGCAGAAAAGATCTATGAAAAAGTAGGCAGTAAAACTTAGAGTGCCTTTTAGTTGTTCAAGCAGAATGGCGCAGCGGAAGCGTTCTGCGCCCATCCACCAGATGTCGGTAGATCGAAACAACCAACTGCTGAAAGAATCTTCATGTGCAAAAACTCTACTAAAATATATCTTTGGATTTTTCTAAATATAAACATTCTAACTCAGTTCGTAAAAACCAAATCAAGCATTGCTTGGGATTTTCAAGTCTAAAAATTGCGACTCATCGAAACTTGGAAGAATCAATGCAAGTTAACATGAAAAGTAATTTCGAATTGAAAACCACATGGCAAAAGCCTTTTCTGCAGACCAATATCATAAAGTAAACAATTTTCAATGGTCATATTGGACACAAAAATTTATTGTTGAAACGTTGCACCGATAAAAAAAACAGTTTTGCTTCCAAACTGAAAGCTTCGATTTCATGACATTAGAACAAAACTCAAAAAATATTGCAATCAAGCAGAAAAGATCTAAGAAAAAACAGGCAATAAAACGAAGAGTCCGTTTTAAATGTTCAAGCACAATGACGCAGCGGAAGCGTGCTGGGCCCATAACAGAGGTCGGTAGATCGAAACTATCTCCTGCTAAAAGAGAATCTTCAGGTGCAAAAGTTCTACTAAAAATATCACTAGAGTTGTTTTAAACTAAACATTCTAACTCATTTCGCAAAAACCAAATCAAGCATTGCTTGGAATTTTCAAAATTCAAACATTGCGACTTAGTTTAATTTAATTAACGCAGACAAATTTAATTAACGCAGACAAACACAGCGCTGCTTAGAAAGAAACAAATTCATGATAGAGTAAAAAAATAGAGTTATCTTATATTACCGATACCAGGGGCGGATCTAGGATTTTCGGGCGGATCTAGGATTTTCTCGACGGGGGGGGGGGGGGGGATTTTCAAAAAAATTTCAAAAATTTTAACGATCTTTTTTTTAGGTCAACCAAATTGAATTTTCGAGCTCTCCCAAGGCCTTAAAAGACGCTGTTATGACCAAATTTTCTGCGCGGCAGGCACATTTTTGAAAAAACAGGTAAAAAAAAGCGTTGAAAAAACAGGTCAAAAAAGGCGAAAATTTTGACCAAAAATAGCGTTTTTTTTCGGCGCGCGCTCCCCCCTCAAAGTAAGTATATACTGGCGCCAAAGGCCTTTAGAAAAGTTTAGGGTCTGTCACCAAATATGGATATCTCAAAATAGTACAAAAGAAGAACTTAAGAAGTCTATTTCAAAAACTTTAAATCCACGAGACATTTTTTATGAAAAGGCCAACATACCGTTTTTGACTCAATTATGAAAAATTTTGACCATACAGTATTGCACTTTTTAGATAATACTCCCACAAAATACTATTGCCGGTAAATTTGCTCACAAATTCGCGTCGAAGAGCCGGAAAAGAATTCCAAATTTTTAGCCTAGTTGTAAGGCGTTCTCTTAGGGAGTGTCAGATCGTGCATTCGATCCCCTCCCATGGTAATGATAGAGTGTGAGGCTAAGCTCCAACTTGACCTATAGCTTCAGGTTTACCACAGCCTGACCGATTTCGGCTGCAATAGTGGTTCCGCGTGAAAGTCTTGAACGTAAATATTGATAAAAATGACAATAAGAAAAAAGATAAGAACTTTTTAAGCCTGAAAGCATACAAAATATGCCAAAATATTGCTAATTTTCATTAACTAGCAACAGCAATATTAGGAATATCACAAACATTTAGTACTCAATCTACAATTGCATTTATCTCCAGTTTTTTGCAATTAAAGAAGTTTTCTGACTTCTCGGAAACCTTGCAAGAGAAGTTTTTTATTAGGTGCATAAATCAAAACGTGCAGAAAACCAAAAATGAAAACCTAAATCATCAGACGATCATTTGCAACTAAGGAACAGCAAGCAACTGAGCCGCCATAATACACTGCAGATGATAATGAAAAAACGCCAGGCTGTCAAAATCAAACCACACTTTTCTAAGAGCCATCAATTGGGACAATTGAGGCAGTTTACTGACATTTCCCGTGACCACGACTGTCCTCGTGATATTGGTCTTGTAGGCGCTACTTGGGGGAGTGGACATGTTTAGTACGGGGGAGTCAGCACCCCCATCCTCTCTGTCGGTTTTGTCCCCTTCGGAGGGGGGAGGTTGGGCACCTCGGGCCGAAACCCGACGAGCAGCCGAACCGACTGGCTGGAAATATGTCATTTCACTTAAAGCGCAGTCAAAAATTAGAATCAAAGGTTACATTATTTTCTTGTTTCAAGTTCTAAATATGTAAAGATTTCTTGATTTAACATCTAATCAACAAGAAAAATTCTAACTCTAGTTTTTAGAAATTCTAAAAAAGTTGCTCGCAATAAAAATCAAATCTAAATCTTGTTCAACAAATTCCGCAACTTTCCTCACTTAGGACAAATGTTTTCAGAACAGTTTACATGCTTTCAGCTCATATTATAACAACTTACATTTCAATAATTTCCTTTCAGTTTCAAAAAACATCTCCAATTGCAGAATTTCAGAGAACAATTTCAATTTTTGAAGTAATTCTTACTGTTTTGGTTGACCGTGTCGTATCTTGATGTCCATGATGTTTGTCCCGGTCAGTAGTCGCTCCCTCTTTATCTTTGGGTGCTTTAGAGGGTCTCGCACTGTTTCCGCCAGCGTCGGCTGCTCCCGCTGTCGGCTTCTTCTTCTGATTTAAAACATGATTAAGGTAATTAATAAAAGTATGACCTTGACGTTGTTCCTGAAGATGATTATTAAGATATGCGGCGTTTTAAATCAAACTTCAAAGCTACCTTTAACAATACAGTAGATCTATTTTGCATCCTGTATAATTTTAAGCTAAAACCTTACATAACAGCCGACAAAATTAACGATAGCTAACGACGAATAGCAAACTAACAGACCTTTTTGGTATTCTTCCAAGAGCGGATTTTTTTGATCATTTTGTAAGAAATAATCAAAGGTTTCTTCTTGAAAACCAATTCATTATATTATGCAAAAACAAATTTATTATATTATAGCAAAAATAAAAACTCTTACATCAGCTGGGTTCTTGCGCGATATTCCGAAGAACTTGAGCAAGTTCTGGTCATATTTGTCGAACTCCTGATGGACTCCTGTGGGATACTTCTTCACTAACTTCTCCTGCTGCAGAGCGAACTCATCATAGCCTGCTCGGATTCGATCCAGGATGTCCATCACTTGTTTCAAAGTGGCCTTCAGGCCCGCTTCTGATGTCTCTTGGCGAAGTTTGTCGATTGTCATGTCTAGAGTGGCCTCACGCTCCTAAAATGAAGTTAGACTTAAACAGGCAGTGTACTTTCAAACCAATCTTATCAGGGAGACCAACAGTGAAAAAGCCAAGATATCTACCTCTCAACCAAAATACCGATGGTTCGAGGCCCACAACGATCCTTGCTGATTACTTCAGTTTGATTCAACAAAACCTAGCCTAAAAATATTTAAAAAATTTTTTTTCTCATGGTAAAACGAATCCACTTACAAATTGGCGCGGAATTCCCGAGCAACTACTTGCAACCCAAATTTGTGAGTAGAAAAAATGTTGCGGAAATTGCGAAATTCGCAATGAGCGAATTTAACAATAATTTTAACAATTCGCAAAATTAAACAGATTTATAAGCAGTTTGTGGATTCTGATCAGAAAATGCGTTTTCCTCTTAAAGTTTGTGGATTCCGCAAATTGTTTGTTTATAGATTCCCAAAAAAATTCTAGACTCTGACAATTTTGGTGCAGATTGGGCAAGTTGTGCTGCTTTTGGAGTGATGCAGTGTTTTAGCAATCTGTTTGTGGATTCCACAATAGCTAAAAGATAAAGGAAAATAGCTTTGGCGCGGATTCGACAAAAACAACGTTTTCAGCCTTTTTCAAAGTTTAATAGAGCAATATTGAAGAAGACTGCTTGTTTATCAGAAGGAAGCCCTGAATATTTTTGACTGCAATTTAAGGCCAACTAAAAAGTTTTCTGCTGGAATAATTGACAAAAAATCAAACAAAAAACTTTTTTTCATTCTTTTCTTCATTTTATCCCCTCACTTGCTGTAAAACACAAAGCGAGTTTAGCGTCGTTTCGTATTGTTTTAATAAAAACAAAATGCTGACCTCAATTCAATTTTCAACGCAGTAATTCGCCGCTTACGTGTCTTATAAGATCGCAACATATCGCGCGTTAATTATCCCAAATTGGCCAAATAAACCCCTGTCAATTTAAGAAACCAAATCACACGTAAAGTATCTTTTAAAACTGAGCTCAGGATAACAATAAACTTCCAGATCGTGTAAATAAAATTCCGTCAAAATTGCTTAGTTGAAAAATCGAAAATTGACTGAATGAAAAAAAAACTAAATAAAATTTAAATTTTTTGTTGGACTAGGTCTTATACTGCTGAATTATTCTGACTTTGAGACAGTGAAATGACATGCAAACTGTACCGGATTTTCAAAACTACATTTGAACTATCCAAAAGAGCATTTCAAAATTATCACGCTTTTTCAGAGATGTGTTATTTGAATAACTTCAAGCCCACAACTTCAAAACTTTTTTCACTTAATAAACCATTACTTCGAATCAGCTCCAGCTTGAATGTCAGAATTAATTCAAAAATTAAAATGGTGTTCACGAAACTTGATGAAAAACTAGGCCAACTGAATTTGAAATACATTTCACAAAAGACAAATCAGCTTCAGCTTGAATGTCAGAATTATTTCGAAAATTAAAAGCGTGTCCAAAAAATTTGATGAAAACTATGCAAACTGCAAACTGAAATTAAATAAGACTAGCATGTACCGCAACCTCCGGATCTTCAAATTTTCAACAACTCAAAGAACTATTCTTTGAGTGTACTCTGACAGCATGGCAGCACCCAATTACAGGGCTCGAAATTAAAAATTTTGCAAAGTTTTTTATTCAAGTTTTTTATACAAATTTTGAAGCACCATAAAAGTTTGTGAAGTTTCATATAAGTTCTTCAACACATCTAAATTGAACTAAGAAACGTCACATTTGGGAAACTGAAAGCAACTGAGCAGTCGCATTTGCACGCAAGATTTGCAACTCCTGAGAGTAACTTCGAATTTGGTAAAATTTTTCATTAGATTTTTTCATTCAAATTTTGAAAAACCATAAAAACTTTTGACATTTTTTATATCAAAGTTTATAATAAATAAAGAAACGTCACATCTGTGAAACTGTAAGCAATTGAGCAGTCGCATTTGGAGGCAAGATTTGCAACTCCTGAGAGTACCCTTACAGTACCCAACTACACCGTTGGGAAATTCAAATTTTGAGAAACTTCACCTTAAGTTTTCTGAAAGAGGTATTTTTTTGAAAACCAGAACAAAATATAAAATCACTTTTCGAAAACTACCAAAAAGTGAACAGTCTTTTTGATGACAATATTTGCAATCTTTGAAAGTAGGCAACTACAGGGCTGGGAATTTCACTTTAACGAATTATTTTGTAATTTGAGTTTTCTGGAAATTTCCAAAAAAAATCGAAAAAATCGTCTTATCTCTTGAACAAAAATGATTTGGACATTCTTGATAGGAGGCCGAATTTGTAACCCTTGATATTACTCTGACAGCCCCCTAACTACATGTTAGGAATTTCATACTTCATAAAAAAATTAATTTAACTTTCATGAAATTTTTTTTGAAAAAATCCCAAAAAAACGTCATATCTGGAAAACTCCAAGATTTTGAGCAATCCTATTCAGAGGCAAGATTCGCAACCTCCTGAGAGTACCATCAAAGATTCCAATAACAGGATTGATATCTCCAAAGTTTTGGAACTTTTTAACAATTAAGTTTTTTTTTGAAAATTTCGGAGAAAATCATAAAAAACGTCATATCTAGAAAACTACAAGGATTTGAGCAGTCATATTAGGAAAAAATATTCGCAACTCCCGCGAGTACCCTGAAAGAGCCTCACTACAGAGATGAGAATTTCGAGCTTTGCTAAAAATTTTTATACCTAAGTTTTCTGAAAAAATTTGGAAAAAATCCTAGAAAAATAGTCATATCTCGAAAACTACAAGGATTTGAGCAACCATAATCAAAGGCAAGATTCGCAACCCCTGAGAGTACCCTCACAAAATCCAACAACATGATTGACATCTTCAACCTTTTGGAAATTTTTAAATTAAAAATTTTTGAACATTTTTTGGAAAAATCATAAAAAATGTCATATCTCGAAAACTACAAGGATTTGAGAAGTCAGAATTGGAGGCACAATTGGCAACCCCTGAGAGTACCTTGACAGCACCCAACTACAGGGTGAGAATTTCAAAAATTGAGAATTTTTTTTAAAATTAAACTTTCAAGAAACTTTTTTGAAAAACCTCGAAAAGTGCCTATCTCGTAAACTAAAATTGTTTGGTTATTCATATATGGAGGCCAGAATCAGAAAACCTGGGAAAATCTGACAATATCCTACTATTGAGTTGCTAATTTCAAACTTGGAATAAACACTGAATTTAAACTGGAAAATCGAAAAAAAAACTTTAACCATTGCAATATACGATATAGCTTAAACGTGAAGAAAATCATTTGTTAAACATGTTAAAAAAATTACGTTGAAAAAGCTCAAACAGGGCGAGATAGTGAAGCCCGCATTTAAATATATAATAATAAAAGATAGATAATAGACAGAGATTAGATGAAAGTTTAAAAATTAGGCGACGGATAGACAGACATAATCAAATCAATTTAAAAAGCAGGTATACAGAAAGACAGACTTAATTTGGCCTCGAAAAAAATACTGAAAAGTTAGTGACCTTGCGAAAAACTAATTGAACAATTTTCTTAAGCATTGCAATATATGAGAAAGCTTAAGCATGAAAAAATTCGTTCGTTAAACTTGCAAAATTATTATGCTTAAACATGAGAGATAGCTGTCACTCGCATTTAAATATAGTATAGATAGATAGATACAGATAGATATAGATAGATAGATTTCAAAAGACAGACAAGAGGAGAGAGAGAGAAGTAATAAATAAGAACCTGGTTAATTTGATCGTTTTTGATTCGATTGGCGTCCAGATTGGTCTGCATAGTTCTCTCCTGCTGGGCCAGTCCTGCCTCGTGCTGGTCCCACACATGAGCCAGACCCTGGCTGAACTTGAACAGACTCTTCACCTCCTCAAATTGATTCTTGTTCTGATCCTCCAGACTCGTCTGAAAACAAGAAAAAAAGAGTTTTAAATACGAAGAGCTTAATAATTTGTTTGAATTCAAATAAAAACAATCAAGTGTTGACACTTAAAACATACATTTGCATATAAAAAAGTATCTTTTACAATAATTTTGCAAAACTTAAATCAGGGATTTGTGATTGATTTAAGCAAAAAAACTGTGCTTAAAATTTACACAAGCACGAGAAATATTTACGTACTTGTGTAGTTTGTTCATGCAGGAAAATTTTGGCGAGCAAAATAACAGTTTATAAGGAAAAACTTTCAATACAAAAAAACAGTAAAAATATCGACTTCCTGAGTTCAAATGGAACAAGACTGCTCAAATCAGGGCAACGCCCTGCATGACCCGACTGCCTTTTAAGGTCTATGGATTTGTGCTGGCTTACGGAGCAATCGGATATTTTTTCCGCATTCTCTTATCAATTTTCTGCGGGTTCAAAAATCGCCACTTTGGCAACGTACTGGACTAATTTAGGAACGCATTCAAGGTTTTATACATGATGCTGAAAGCGTAACTTGAAGTAATTATGCGTGGCAAATTGTATCGCGCTCAATATTGTTCCAAATTCAGTTGGGTAAAGCTACTAGGTCATATTAAATTTTTCGACTTTCGAAGAAGTGCCAGAACCTTTGTGCTCGGTGCGGTTTTTTCTTCAGACCAATTCGACTTTTAAGTAGCCTGTTTTGAACGGAATTTTTTCTAGCATCTGAAAATCACTTGTTTAAAATAGCTTTGTACCTCTACATATTTTTCATTAAGTTAGAGCTACTTGAAAGATTCCAATTGAATTAAAAAAATGGAAAACAAAATCATTTATCATTATTTTGAGCTTACAATTTTAACATCGATCTTAAAATGCTACGGAAAACAACCGAGGATTCGCATTGCTACGACAGTTTGGTAAAATTAAAAATTCAGCATGAACAAAGTTTGCGACATTTGCTAAAAAAACAAAAATTCTTCACAACTTAAATAAGTGTCTACATTGACATTTGATAAACTTTTGGAAAAATTTCGAGGAATATTTTTAAGACGAGATCAAGTCCTTTTTAATTTTCAAATAACATTTTTAGTTTTCATAGTGACTTTCAATTTCATAGTGATTTTTAAAGATATTATAGCTAAATGCGTGATAATACGACTTAATGGATAAATACCAAAGTTGTGCAAATCAATTTATTTGCTCACCTTTCAAAGTTTGACCTCCTTATAACTATAAAAAAAATAGTTGCTGACAATTATAGCAAACTATAGCCCCCCAATTAGTATATAGCCTCCCTCATTTCGCCAGCAAATTATACTTACAAAAAAGTATAGTTTTCCCATGTAATTTTACAATTATAGTGGGGCTATAATTTGCTATAACTTCTTTTTGTAGGGGGGGGGGGGGGGGGGGTTGTTGATATAATTCAAAAGTGGTTGTGGAAAAAGGAAAATAGCGTGATAACATGATGGTAATGAACATACATCCATGTTTTCGAGTATCTGTTCGAACACTCTCTGCTGTTTGCCGACTAGAGGAAGGAAGTCTCTTTCCATCACCACAGCAGCACTTTTTTTATCACACACTTGCGACTCAATCAACGTCTTCTAAAACACAACAATCATCCAACGTCTTCTAAAACACCTAACTGAGCGCTGGAATCTAGAGACAAGTCTTTAAACATGTGAAAAATTTGTGGGAACGATCAAAGAAAACGAAAGAACAAAAGAAGAACAAACGGAGCGTCCTTGTTGGGGAATCCGCTAACAACTCACCAAAAACACAGTTTGGTCTTGTTATGATATTTAACAGATTCGTTTAAAACTGCCGGGTACATTTCTTTTTTTAGTCATTCAGAGCGGAGGCCTAACAGTAAGGTTAATTATTAGGTTGGCATGAACGCTTATAACCAGGGCCCATTTAATCTATGACTTACTTGAAAGAGCTCACCTTGCAAATTGCAACGCATGTGAGATTTGAACCAGCAATCATATGATAGCTGGCCACCACCTTTACCGGAGCACCACGATGCCACTTGCAGGATGTACAAAATGCGCAAAAATCCTCAACCAATCAACGCCCTTTAAATTTCCGATGACTGGCTGAACTTATTGCTTATTTCATTCAAATTTTTGAATACTGAGTTCTGCTTGTTTGTTAAAATTTCGCGTATTCCGTTATTCGTGCATGATGGATTCACCCAAAATCTGTTACGCAGAATAATTAAAGCATCAGCACTTCTGCTTCAAAACAGGGCAACTTCCAAAACAATAATTATCCACATCAATCACTCGTTTTGCTACAATACCGTACCCAGGGGATTTCTGTGCAAGATCTGAAAGTCTTTATTTCTTACATTAGTTGACACTCAGATCTAAAATTCTTTATTTCATATTTGGATAAGAATTTATAAAATTAAAATCTGAAATTTGGATCTGGAATAGAAAAGTTGAAAATCAAAGTTTCAAATCTGAAATTAGATCCGAGAAACCCTTTGTTAAAAAATAAGTTATGCATTTCGAGCAAACAATTGAATTTTTCCTTTTTGATGTTTCTTCAACTTATAAATATTTTTAGATTAGCTAGCGGTAGAAAAAACATTTCCAAATAGTTTCACAAGCAGTTTTTTTTCGACCTAAATTTCTTGTTCAACTGTGATACAAAGTTTTCAAAAACTGTTTCAAAGACCTATCAATTTTTCTTTGATTTTCACGCGCTACTTATGGGCTTCCAATGTTTATCTCACGCTTGGGAAAACATATTTTGGCAGTTTTTCAGTTAGCTAGCAGAAGCTATCAAATACAAAAGTATCAAATATAGCAAAAGGTGTGTCAAAATTATTGGTTGTTTAGATCTGAAATAACTAAAAAAAACTAAATTTCAGATCTAAAATTAGATTTGATATAGATTTTTTCAAATCTGAAATAACCACGAGAAGCAAAACTTCAGATCTGAAATTAGATCTGAAATAACCCATTCCTAAAGTATCCAAGCGTTATTTTATCATTTCACAACCCATTTTAGATCTGAAATTTAGATATGAAAAAGATTATTTCAGATCTGAATTAGAACATTTACTAGGTACGGGATAATTGAATTTTTTTGATGGATATTGTACAAATTATCATGATTTGTAGATAACTTTAAATAAGAACAACAAGCTTCTCAAATTTTTGACCAAATTTATTAGTTTTCAAGAAATTAATGATTATAAACAAAACTGTAACACTTGAAAGACCTGAATGAAACTGGTTACTCTGAACTACATAACTCAAGGGTTGACGAAAATCACCGGGGGTTAGACAATTTTCATTACGAGGCCAAATGGTGCATTGGATGTCTTTCAACATGTCAAAATTTTGTCGGAATGATCAAAGAAAACGAAGGAGCAAAAGAAGAAGAAAAGAATCGAGCGTCCTCGTTGCGGAATCCGCTTAAAATTCACAAAACACACAGTTTGATTACGTTATATTTGAAGAAAAAAGCGTTTTTCATTTCAGGCGTGGGGGGTCAAAATTATCAGGGGGATCCCGCAATTTTAGATAAGTTATGATTAATATATATGCTCTAGTCAAAAAACTTCTTGCATTTTAAAAATGGCAAACAATTTTGTCCATTCATTCCAGACCACAATTTTTCAAGCTGAAAAACATTTTTTGGAGTTTTGAAAAAAAGAATTCTTTTCTAAAAATTGACAACAAGTTTAATGATATAAGAACTCCGGAAAGGTCCATTCAGAGCCCACAAAAGTTGGGGGTCAATATTCTAGGGGAATGGGGTCTATGAAGAAGTCGACTTGTACTGCGGGATCCCAACAATTAAGTAGTGCTGAGTATGCGTAATGACGGGGTTTCAAATTTGAATTTCGAATTACAGCTCTTTTTCGGTTTCCTACCTCCTCGAAAATTTTCAAAAAAAAAGTTCATAAATTTTTCACACTGCATTTTGAATGTAAGAAAAGTTGTAAAAAGTGTTCACCGGGCATTTTTCATGTGAGAAATTATGTACAAATTTGTTCACCTGTTCACGCTGACACGTTTAAATGTAATTTATAACATGAAAAGCCATTTTAAAAAGACTTTCATACATTGAATTTCATTAAAACTCAAAGGGGGAACTGGAAAAGAGCCCAAAATTCTTTTTCTCATCAGTATTTGCTGCAGGTTTACCTTATGCACTTGGAGTTCGCCCAAGCAGTTCTGACAGACTCGCTCGTACTCTGTATGCAGAAGGGTCATGTATTTCTCTTGAATGGCCACTGAAAGCAAAAACAGAATTTACACAAGAGGGGAGGGGGACTTCAATTCCCAAGCGAGAAAAAAAAGACGATTAAATGAGCTTTTAAACCAAGAAAATACGAACATACAATTCGAAATTCCAAGCAAAAACAGGAAAAATAAACTTTTAAAATCTAAGAACGTAGCAAACAGATGGTTGGACAAGTAAAAAAGAACTTAAGAAAACCGAAAAAAAAATTAATTGAAAATGTTTGCACATTTTTTAATTTTCGAAGAAAAAATATATTGTTAAAGCTCTTTAAAAATCAACAGTGTTTTCGATTGGCAACTTTTTCATTAATTTATCGCATTTGAAGTTCAGAGGTTTTTATCCCTCCGAAAATTCAGAAAGTTAAAGTCAAAATTGAAAATAGAGATAATCAAACTATCGTACAGCAAAAAATTAAAGGTCACGAAAAAGACGAATGACGTCATTCACGTTTTTTCATAACCTTCTTTTTGATCTGTTCGATACCGGAATTTACCTTCCTTTAAAAAAAATCAAAAATTCAACCGCGAAAAATCAAAATTGAGCGTGAACAAATTTTAAGTCTTTTTCCTGAAAAAAAAAGAACAATAAATCATCACGATCTATATAAAGGCCATTATTTTACTGGAATTACTGGAAAAGTCAAAAGAAAATCATCACGATCTATATAAAGGTCATTATTTTACTGGAATTACTGGAAAAGTCAAAAGAAAATCATCACGATCTATATAAAGGTCATTATTTTACTGGAATTACTGGAAAAGTCAAAAGAAAATCATCACGATCTATATAAAGGTAATTATTTTACTGGAATTACTGGAAAAGTCAAAAGAAAATCATCACGATCTATATAAAGGTAATTATTTTACTGGAATTACTGGAAAAGTCAAAAGAAAATCATCACGATCTATATAAAGGTAATTATTTTACTGGAATTACTGGAAAAGTCAAAAGAAAATCATCACGATCTATATAAAGGTAATTATTTTACTGGAATTACTGGAAAAGTCAAAAGAAAATCATCACGATCTATATAAAGGTCATTATTTTACTGGAATTACTGGAAAAGTCAAAAGAAAATCATCACGATCTATATAAAGGTAATTATTTTACTGGAATTACTGGAAAAGTCAAAAGAAAATCATCACGATCTATATAAAGGTAATTATTTTACTGGAATTACTGGAAAAGTCAAAAGAAAATCATCACGATCTATATAAAGGTCATTATTTTACTGGAATTACTGGAAAAGTCAAAAGAAAATCATCACGATCTATATAAAGGTAATTATTTTACTGGAATTACTGGAAAAGTCAAAAGAAAATCATCACGATCTATATAAAGGTAATTATTTTACTGGAATTACTGGAAAAGTCAAAAGAAAATCATCACGATCTATATAAAGGTAATTATTTTACTGGAATTACTGGAAAAGTCAAAAGAAAATCATCACGATCTATATAAAGGTAATTATTTTACTGGAATTACTGGAAAAGTCAAAAGAAAATCATCACGATCTATATAAAGGTAATTATTTTACTGGAATTACTGGAAAAGTCAAAAGAAAATCATCACGATCTATATAAAGGTAATTATTTTACTGGAATTACTGGAAAAGTCAAAAGAAAATCATCACGATCTATATAAAGGTCATTATTTTACTGGAATTACTGGAAAAGTCAAAAGAAAATCATCACGATCTATATAAAGGTAATTATTTTACTGGAATTACTGGAAAAGTCAAAAGAAAATCATCACGATCTATATAAAGGTAATTATTTTACTGGAATTACTGGAAAAGTCAAAAGAAAATCATCACGATCTATATAAAGGTAATTATTTTACTGGAATTACTGGAAAAGTCAAAAGAAAATCATCACGATCTATATAAAGGTAATTATTTTACTGGAATTACTGGAAAAGTCAAAAGAAAATCATCACGATCTATATAAAGGTAATTATTTTACTGGAATTACTGGAAAAGTCAAAAGAAAATCATCACGATCTATATAAAGGTAATTATTTTACTGGAATTACTGGAAAAGTCAAAAGAAAATCATCACGATCTATATAAAGGTCATTATTTTACTGGAATTACTGGAAAAGTCAAAAGAAAATCATCACGATCTATATAAAGGTAATTATTTTACTGGAATTACTGGAAAAGTCAAAAGAAAATCATCACGATCTATATAAAGGTAATTATTTTACTGGAATTACTGGAAAAGTCAAAAGAAAATCATCACGATCTATATAAAGGTAATTATTTTACTGGAATTACTGGAAAAGTCAAAAGAAAATCATCACGATCTATATAAAGGTAATTATTTTACTGGAATTACTGGAAAAGTCAAAAGAAAATCATCACGATCTATATAAAGGTCATTATTTTACTGGAATTACTGGAAAAGTCAAAAGAAAATCATCACGATCTATATAAAGGTAATTATTTTACTGGAATTACTGGAAAAGTCAAAAGAAAATCATCACGATCTATATAAAGGTAATTATTTTACTGGAATTACTGGAAAAGTCAAAAGAAAATCATCACGATCTATATAAAGGTAATTATTTTACTGGAATTACTGGAAAAGTCAAAAGAAAATCATCACGATCTATATAAAGGTCATTATTTTACTGGAATTACTGGAAAAGTCAAAAGAAAATCATCACGATCTATATAAAGGTAATTATTTTACTGGAATTACTGGAAAAGTCAAAAGACTTATGACGTGCAATATTAGAAAATTAAGTCACTTTGGAAGCTATTTTACCCTAAAAATGATGATATGAAACAAACTCGGCTACACATTTAAAATCGGTGAGATTTTCAAAAAAGATGAAAATGTACTATTTAAACCGATGACTCACGGAGTTGTTTGGAGAACTGTCCCATGGCACTGTTCCACTGATACACATTCGACTTGTGAGACTTAGGGGGGATAAAAGTCTCCCTGAAACAAAAAAAAATGCTCAATTTGTCAAACAAAACTATTAAAACTATTAGATACTACAAAACTACCCCCCCTTGCAAGAGGTACAGATTCGTTACTAGGTACAAAACGTACATTTGCTTAACTATTGCATTATTTTTTTATAAGGGCGGCAATTCGTTATTAGGTACCCTAGAGGGGGGATAATTTAAGAGATCCGACAAAACTTGTGCGAATCAGAGAATTATTTTCTAGATTTTCACTATAAACCTCTTTTCCACAACCCCCAAGCGAACCCATATGAACTTTAATTTTAAAAACCTAAATTAACACGGTCATTATAATTGAGGATAAAACAAATGCTAGTCAATTTTTAAAACCTCTGTTTGAGTATAAAAACAATCTCTTACTTGAAAGTTACAATCAACTCTTTTCGTGCATTATTCAGCATCTCCTGCTCATCGTAAAACTTTTCAAGAATGGCAGAGGCACTTTCAGGTTTCGTAACTTCCGATGAGTTCATGTACTCTTTGAATTCGGCTAGGAGCACGTTCTGCTTGGTGGTGCGCCAGAAGTTCCTCTTGTCAGTCCAGTTCTCACGCAGACTTCGTTCCAGTTCGAACTCGTGTTTGACCATTAGACCGATGAACTCAGAGAGCCGAACTTCATTTTCCATCAGCACTTCGTTCAAAGACTGAAAAATAACAATTGAAGATTTGTTTTGTAGTCAGAAAATTCTGTAGACCGAAAAATATCTAATAACCTTGAAATTGAAATGGTTTGAAATTTGGAAGATTCTTTTACTGATCAATATGACATGTTATCGACCTTATTTTGACTCGGCAAATTTTAATATTTCGAGCACTGTCGAAACTTCAATGACATTTTAACTGAAACATAGCTGTTTTTGAGAACTTTTTTGGAAAAAGTTCTCCAAAGAAACCTGTTTTTTATATAAATTGACATCAAAAACACCTTGAGTAAATTTTTAGGTTTCGTTAATTTAAAATGGCTGTCGTAGAAAAGTAGCGAAGGGTTTCCATTTAGTAAAGATTATTGAACTGACTTGTGTCTCGACTTCCATCAATTTGCGCACATCTGCGGGCAGCAAGTGGGCGATCCTCTCGAATATGAGGAAGTACTTTCTGAGGATGTCGAAAGTGAGACTCCTCCTCCTTTTTTCCATCTGCTTCAAGTCCCAGTCCAGTTTGCGGATGGACTCCTGTCTGAACTTACAGATCTCCAACACTGCCTCCCACACTTTGAACAGACCCCCACTGTCGAAACTCTGCAGCACCTAAGAGAGAAGATATTTGGACTCGAATTTCTTCTACTTCCCAGCAAATTACAAATTGTCTATTATCATAATTGTTTTACGTTTTTTATGGCTAAAAGCGCAATGTTACGATGTAAAGAATAAAGAACCAATCTGATCATAATAACTTTTGTTCATTAAGCCAAATTTCATAAGATTATGAGCAATTTTAAAAAAGAATTAACTTTGGGGCTGGAAAGGAAAAAAATTAGATTCTACACAGAGGTGAAGCTGAGCTTCACACCACATGCGACACAACACAAATAAGCGACAAAAAAATCAATAATATCGAAAAAATTAGATCTATCATAATGACTGGAACTAATTTTGAAACACAAACATGCCGAGACAATAGAATGTGAAATTAACAAACGGAAGATAATTAACCAAGCGGTAACAAATACCTTGGCAGAAACCTTTTGAGCCGAAGAAAAATCAACAAGATTTAACATTTATGAAAATGCCCCGTAGCCTTCAAAAGAACCAAAAAACATTATTTGATCGTCAAATGAAAGAATATGAGACAACTAGGCCGACATAAAATAGCCCGAAACCTAGGAAGCCCAAAACAACGAAAATAAAAAAAATGTAAAAAGTTTAACTTAATAGGAAGTTATTAAGCACCCCTCGCCCTCAAAACACAGACACGCTCAACAGGAAGCTCGTTTTTTCGCTCGTCGAAGGACGCAATAAGAGGCCGATAAGACGATATAATATAGGCCGAAACCTATCAACCCGAAAAAAAAAACAAGGTGACGAAAAATCGTTGTCATGAAAAATGTGAATTATACTTTTTATTAAGATGTTTAGCATTTTGTTCAACCCACAGTGAGGAAAAAAAATGTTTCCATCGAAACAATTTGAAAATAGGTCACTAAGCAGATAAAAAAATAGGCCAAAATCATTTGAGCAGAATACATTTTTTATCGAAAAATATATATATATATATACACGTACAACTAATATGAAAACCAAAAAATTGAAATAATGAGGTATCAATAGGAAAAAAAACCTGATAATTCTGAATGTAATGAGAAAAAATTTAACAAAAATCAACTTTTTTTAACACTACGTTTGGCCTGTAGACACCATGGAAAACTTCTGTTCGTTACTGCAGACAAAAATCTTATTGAAGACTAGGAGAAATATGAGCGTTTTTTATGGAGTCTATCCTTGGATTCTAGGAAACTTTTCCGTATGTATTAAACAAGCTCAAGCAAAAATGCTAACAACTACAAAGCTATATTTACAACAATTGGTTAAGCTCTTGAAGTTATATTTTGAGTCGACTCAACTGATGATGAAATTAAAAGAGCAAAAAAACTGCTCGTATATCAGGGAAAAGCCCTGAATGTTCCGACTATCCCTTAATTCATATCGAATAGTTTTTGGGAAACGAAAAAAAAATTGAAAACCTTTAAATTTTGGACAATATCAAAGTAAGAAATGTTGAGTCGTACGAAATAAATACGATCCCATCAGCTAGCCTCAATTCAATTTGGAACGATTTTGTTGTGAGGGATAATTCGCCACGCATAAATATTTCGCGTTACGCTATCAGCACTAGATGGCAAAAAACTCAGATCGGAAGCAATAATAGCGCAAGAAATGGCAAAATGTCTGAAAAACAGATTCAACGTTTTTTAAATGAAATTATCAAGTTTGATTTAGAAATAATTGAAAATCTCGTAGACAAGATGATAAACATAGCTGCCAGTGTACCTAAGAAATGCTTTTATTACTATATTGTTCGATAAAATAGTTCTTTATATTTTAGTTCGGCAAAAAAGTGTTTCCAAGTTCTCTGCTTTTCAATATTACTAAGATCTAATTGCGGTAAATACTTTTTTTTCAATTTTTGAAGTTGAAAAAAAAAGTATTATAGATCACAATTTTTACCAATGAAACTAAATATATTTTTTTTTCTCTTAAATATTGATCTCTTGAAAGATATTTAGAAACGGGTAGCAGGATCTAATAGTGTTCTAGCATTTGTTTCAAATGACGTAAACGAATTTATTACGTTTTTTTTCGATATTTTGTTTTCGTTCAAATTAAAGTGATCCGGTGAAAAAACAATTGATGGACTAACATTACATGGAGTGCAAATCTATGCTCTTAAGCCTGAGCTATAAAGTTACCGGCCATCAGCATTAACCAGCGTAAGAACATTTTTAATTAAAAAAAAGATCATCAGTTTTGCTGTTCGAATACGAAACAGGGTCGCATCCAAAAAAGGGTCAGAAAAATAAAAGTTGTCATAAAAATATTGGTTGCTGATTGCTTGAATTTGGCTTTCAATTATCAATTGTTCATCTCGATGATTCATTACCATTACATGTTAGATTTTCTACAGATTTTGCATGAATGTTCTTTTCTTCAAGAAGATTGTTTGAAACAGTTTTGAACGTTTTTTAAAACTTCCCGGATCGATAAAAAGTTAACATTGATTCCAAATTTGAAACTAATTTCTTAACATCACTAACATTACAGGCATTATGCAGCCTTTTTCCTTGATTTTTCTGAAACTAGGTTTACAAAAGTCTATTTTAAATGACTTCTGATGTTCTAAACTGCAATAAAATATCCCAGCAAGTGAACAGATTCGAGCAACATTTCGAACAAAGTAAATTGACTTAAGAACAATGAGATAGCGGCTCTTTTCCAGTTTCCTCCCCTTCAAATTAATTTTTGAAAACCTTATTTAACGTAGTCATAATGCAGTGAAAATTGGCATGGTGAACAAATTGACAATTATGAACAGATTTGTTCTTCAAACATTACAGCGTAACATCACGCATTTAGCCGTAATAACACGTAAAACAAACACAAAACTCGGTATTTTGAAAGGTGGGGGAGAAAGTGGAAAAGAGCCGAGATAGCTTTTCATAAAGAGTTTACGAGGAGAGAGTAAAAAAAAACAATCGAAATTAGGCTCTTTCTCCTTTCCCCCCACCTGTAAATTTAGTAGTAAGTTTACTGTTCATATTTTCCGATCTTTATGAAAATTGGCAAGCGGACTAATTACGCCATGGCAAACATATTTGGTCTTCATAATTAACCTTGTAAAACCACTCGTTACACCATAAAATTGATGATCGTACGAGGTGGGGGGAGGAAAAAGAGCCCAAGATTACCTCCTGGTCGTCAATGCTAGTCATGATGCGATCAATCTCGTCCTGTTGTCGTTCCAGGAAATCACTGGTCTCTTGTGAACGCTTCTGCATTTCACCGTCTATCTCCTAGAACAAACTTCTAATTCTCACTTTAAAAAAAATTACTGATGATTCGAACGCAGAAATGTATAGAAGCAAAATCAAGCGTTTTTTTTAAATCGCTTCCAAAGATTTCTGTACAATTCTTCTGACAGCTTACATGATCAAAAATTTCAAAAGTTTGTGGGAATCAACTCACAAAGAACCGATATTATGAGAATTTTTTCTCGAGCAGATTAAAAACAGAAGAAAAAATCACTTATTTGTCGAGACGTGTTATGACCCTCAGTAAGCAAGACCATTATCCTGTCGTACCCATTACAGAAAACGTCACAAACTGTTTGTTTGACGCCTTTGGAGGGTCTCTCGACATATCTAAGGAAGTTCAAGAAACTGAATGAGGGAACAGATGGACTGTGAGTGTGAACCTCCAAGGCAAACTGTATTTAGTCCCGGGGGAAACATTGGCCGTAAATGCGTTGATCTTTTAACGAAAGAAGTCTGCCGATTGAACCAAAACGAATGTTCAGAACGACTTCTTGTATTCAGCCGATTAATCTTACAGCGGGACCCAATGATAAAAACCACACGTGATGTGAGAGCTTTGATAGGAAGACGACTTGAAGACTGGGAAAATAGTAAGTTCAATATTCTACTACAAGAAGCCAAACGATGTTCACAAAAACAACCGAGAAAACCCATGAAAAAAAAAACAGATCTGAAGACGAGCACACCGCAGTGGTTTTTGCACGAATGATGATGGAAGTAAAAGTTCGGTCTGCCATGCGTTGGCTGACAAGCAGATCTGGCGGAGGTTTGCTTCATCCAAATGACGAATTTATTGATTCCACAACAAAAACAAGAAAATTAGTCATTGACATTCTGAAAGAAAAACATCCCGTAGCAAAACAGTCAAAAGAAGAAGCAAGAATACAAGTAGACAGCTTGCCTGAGTTAGAAACAGTAACCATCACTTCTTCTTGTATAGAAAAATTTGCGAGGTCAATGCACGGTGGAGCCGGACCTTCAGGAACAGATTTGGAACACTGGAAAGACGCATTTCTTCGATTTGGAGGACACAGTTCGGCTTTGAGAGACGAAGTGGCAGCGCTGATCACAAAGATAGCTAACGAAATTATTCCATGGAACCAAATACGAGCATTGATGTCAGGTCGTCTGATCGCTTTGGACAAGTGCCCCGGAGTTAGACCCATTGGCATAAGTGAGTGTTTGCGAAGAATAATGTGTAAATGTATGGCCGAAGCGACCAAAAAAGATCTCGAAGAAACCTGTGGATCTCAACAACTAGCTTGTGGTGTGAAAGCAGGAATAGAAGGAGCTGTACACGCAGTGGAGGAATTGTTTAATAGCACCAAAGAGGACGGACATGGTCTTCTATTGATGGATGCCTCAAATGCATTCAATGCATTGAACAGGGAAACGGCTCTATGGAATGCTAGAATACTTTGGCCAAGGTGCTCACGATTTCTTTTCAACACTTATAGAGGGTATGCGCCGCTAATTGTTGCAGGAACGACAGAACTTCTTTTCAGTAGTGAAGGCACTACACAGGGTGATCCACCAACGATGTTATTCTATGGTGTTTCATTGATGCCATTGATTGAATCACTCAAAGACCGAGATAAGTATTTACAAACATGGTATGCAGATGATTTGGGAGCTCTCGGCGCACTAGAAAACCAGGTTGAATGGTTGTCATCTTTGACTGAAAACGGCCCGAAGTATGGCTATTACCCCGAGCCAAGCAAAAGTTATTTGGTTGTTCACCCGAAATTTGTTGAAAAAGCTCATCAATTGTTTGACAGGTTCGGCATCAGAATAGTTGAAGGTAGAAGATATTTGGGCGGATTTATTGGCTCTGATGAAGGCAAAATTCGTTTCACTTTAAAAAAGGTCCAAGAATGGTTGGATTGTCTTGGCGAGTTGTCCAAAGTGGCAGAAAAAGAACCTCAAGCTGCTTTAGTTGGATTAACAAGATCACTGCAATGCGAATGGAATTTTGTCCAGAAAGTAGTCAAAGATACGTCGCAGTTGTTTGCTCCTCTCGAGAAGATGTTGGAGGAAAACTTTTTGCCAAGCTTACTAGGAACTTCTAGTGTCACACACTCAGATCGTGTTTTGTATTCACTTCCTGTCAAGAGGGGGACTAGGTGTGCGAAATCCAATAGAAGGTGCCGAACTGGCATTTTCCACTTCACGTGAAGCAACCGACTGTCTCGTGAGTTCGATCCTTCTCCAAGATGATTTCGACCAAACTCTACACAAAACAAAGATGAGAGAAGCAAGAAAAAACCACGAGGAGAAACAAAATGCTGTGGACAAAGATAAACTCGATGAATTGCTTGCAGTTTTACCAGCAGATCAGAAACGAGCAATCCGGAGAATAATCTACAACAACGGTTCCTTGTGGCTAACTTCGCTGCCCTTGTTGAAAGATAATTTTGATTTGTCAGCAACAGAGTTCAGAGACGCTCTAAGTGTCAGGTACAGAAAACCACTCAAACGCTCTTTCTCGAGATGCGATGGATGTCAACAAGATTTTGACTTACAGCATGCACTTTCTTGCAAGAAGGGCGGACTGACAACACTACGACACAACGAAATAAGAGACGCAGTGGGCGATCTTGCTTCACTTTTGTGGAAGGATGTGAAAAGAGAACATGTCGTAAAAGAACCAGATGTAGAAAATGGAACCCCGGCACTAATTGCAGATCTTTCAGCTCGTGGGGTTTGGGATAGACAGTCGGCTGCGTCGTTCGACATCCGTGTTACAAACACTGACGCTCCGTCTTACCAAAACCGCAATCCCATGAATGTACCGAAAACTGCAGAGGTTGAGAAGAAAAATAAGTATGGACCAGCTTGTGAAGAAAACACATGTCTTTCACTCCACTGGTCACTTCAATAGATGGTGTTTTGGCACCGGAGTTCACGTTTTTCCTCAAACGACTAGCAGATGGTCTGGCATCAAAATGGGACCGCCCATATAGTCATGTCATGTGCTGGGTGAGATGTAGAATTTCATTCGCTATACTGAGAGCAACCAACATTTGCATCAGAGGCACAAGATCCAAATGGCAATCAATCGGCGTTGAGGACGGTTACACAATTGGAATGGCATTCTAAATATTCACACGCTGTTAACTGGGGCTTTCATCTTTTCCTTGTTCATCTGTTATTTGTCGAGATAGTATTTTCAAAACAAAAACCACTGCAAATATGAAGTACATTTTACATCAAAATATTATGTCAAATTAGTTGTTTTGGAAATAAGAGATGTGTTTTGTGGAAGCTGACCTTTCCTAATAAGGAAACCTCCTGCTCCATGTCTTCATGTTTTGTATTCACTTCCTGTCAAGAGGGGGACTAGGTGTGCGAAATCCAATAGAAGGTGCCGAACTAGCATTTTCCACTTCACGTGAAGCAACCGACTGTCTCGTGAGTTCGATCCTTCTCCAAGATGATTTCGACCAAACTCTACACAAAACAAAGATGAGAGAAGCAAGAAAAAACCACGAGGAGAGACAAAATGCTGTGGACAAAGATAAACTCGATGAGATGCATGCAGTTTTACCAGCAGATCAGAAACGAGCGATCCGGAGAATAATCGACAACAACTGTTCCTTGTGGCTAACTTCGCTGCCCTTGTTGAAAGATAATTTTGATTTGTCAGCAACAGAGTTCGAAGACGCTCTATGTGTCAGGTACAGAAAACCACTCAAACGTTCTTTCTCGAGATGCGATGGATGTCAACAAGATTTTGACTTACAGCATGCACTTTCTTGCAAGAAGGGCGGACTGGTAACACTACGACAAAACGAAATAAGAGACGCAGTGGGCGATCTTGCTTCACTTTTGTGGAAGGATGTGAAAAGAGAACCTAGAAAATGGAACCCCGGCACTAATTGCAGATCTTTCAGCTCGTGGGGTTTGGGATAGACAGTCGGCTGCGTCGTTCGACATCCGTGTTACAGACACTGACGCTCCGTCTTACCAAAACCGCAATCCCATGAATGTACCGAAAACTGCAGAGATTGAGAAGAAAAATAAGTATGGACCAGCTTGTGAAGAAAAGCACATGTCTTTCATTCCACTGGTCACTTCAATAGATGGTGTTTTGGCACCGGAGTTCACGTTTTTCCTCAAACGACTAGCAGATGGTCTGGCATCAAAATGGGACCGCCCATATAGTCATGTCATGTGCTGGGTGAGATGTAGAATTTCATTCGCTATACTAAGAGCAACCAACATTTGCATCAGAGGCACAAGATCCAAATGGCAATCCCTCGGCGTTGAGGACGGTTACACAATTGGAATGGCATTCTAAATATTCACACGCTGTTAACTGGGGCTTTCATCTGTTCCTTGTTCATCTGTTATTTGTCGAGATAGTATTTTCAAAACAAAAACCACTGCAAATATGAAGTACATTTTACATCAAAATATTATGTCAAATTAGTTGTTTTGGAAATAAGAGATGTGTTTTGTGGAAGCTGACCTTTCCTAATAAGGAAACCTCCTGCTCCATGTCTTCATGTTTTGTATTCACTTCCTGTCAAGAGGGGGACTAGGTGTGCGAAATCCAATAGAAGGTGCCGAACTAGCATTTTCCACTTCACGTGAAGCAACCGACTGTCTCGTGAGTTCGATCCTTCTCCAAGATGATTTCGACCAAACTCTACACAAAACAAAGATGAGAGAAGCAAGAAAAAACAACGAGGAGAGACAAAATGCTGTGGACAAAGATAAACTCGATGAGATGCATGCAGTTTTACCAGCAGATCAGAAACGAGCGATCCGGAGAATAATCGACAACAACTGTTCCTTGTGGCTAACTTCGCTGCCCTTGTTGAAAGATAATTTTGATTTGTCAGCAACAGAGTTCAGAGACGCTCTATGTGTCAGGTACAGAAAACCACTCAAACGTTCTTTCTCGAGATGCGATGGATGTCAACAAGATTTTGACTTACAGTATGCACTTTCTTGCAAGAAGGGCGGACTGGTAACACTACGACACAACGAAATAAGAGACGCAGTGGGCGATCTTGCTTCACTTTTGTGGAAGGATGTGAAAAGAGAACCTAGAAAATGGAACCCCGGCACTAATTGCAGATCTTTCAGCTCGTGGGGTTTGGGATAGACAGTCGGCTGCGTCGTTCGACATCCGTGTTACAGACACTGACGCTCCGTCTTACCAAAACCGCAATCCCATGAATGTACCGAAAACTGCAGAGATTGAGAAGAAAAATAAGTATGGACCAGCTTGTGAAGAAAAGCACATGTCTTTCACTCCACTGGTCACTTCAATAGATGGTGTTTTGGCACCGGAGTTCACGTTTTTCCTCAAACGACTAGCAGATGGTCTGGCATCAAAATGGGACCGCCCATATAGTCATGTCATGTGCTGGGTGAGATGTAGAATTTCATTCGCTATACTAAGAGCAACCAACATTTGCATCAGAGGCACAAGATCCAAATGGCAATCCCTCGGCGTTGAGGACGGTTACACAATTGGAATGGCATTCTAAATATTCACACGCTGTTAACTGGGGCTTTCATCGCGCATAACTGACTCCTATATAATTAAAATTTCGACACCATTTGCATATTATTTCGAAGAATATGAGATGTTTCAAGATAAAAACGCAGGATGACAACTGTGAACAAGCAACCAAAAACTTTTCCTTGCACCATTCAAAACCAATTTATTTTGAGTTTATGATTTCAAATGCTCAAAAAAAAACTTATTTGTCGAGATAGTATTTTCAAAACAAAAACCACTGCAAATATGAAGTACATTTTACATCAAAATATTATGTCAAATTAGTTGTTTTGGAAATAAGAGATGTGTTTTGTGGAAGCTGACCTTTCCTAATAAGGAAACCTCCTGCTCCATGTCTTCAAACGCAGCCCTATGTCTCTCCATGCGTCCCTCAGTCAGTTTGTTCACAAGCACCAAAGTCCTGGCCCGCCCAGCTGAGTTGGGGTCGAAAGACACCGGCGCCACAACATCCGGCAACGCCGCAACCACGTCTTCGTCTTTGTACATCATATGTCCCTTCACTCTTTTCTGCTGAGCTACACTTTTGTACCTGACAATAATCGAAAAAAAATTATGATGAAAATTATGTTAAAGGGGTTTTAAGCTAGTTCGAAGGGAGATATCGAGGCTCTTTTCCACTTTCCCCCATATTTCAAAGTTTCCGTTTTCATTGTTGTCTTACGTGTGCAAAGTATTAAGAACAAATATGTTCCCAATAGTTAGTTTTTTCATCATGAAAAACTTCATTACATCATTACAATGTAAAATTAGTTTTTCAAATCTTAAAATCAAATGTGCGGCTGAAGAATGGAAAAGAGCCAAAAGCGAAACTCGAAACTACATTGAAAGGTGATCACTTAAAAATCATAGCGCACGGGATTTGACCACCTCGGGAATTGACTTGACAATTATGAACAGATTTGTTCTTCATTCTTTACAGCGTAACATCACGCATTTAGCCGTAATAACACGTAAAACAAACATAAAACCCGGTATTTTGAAAGGGGGGAACTGGAAAAGAGCCATTTTCTGCAGATCGACCCTGAAAATCTCCTAAAGGATATTCAAAATTAACCAACTTAAATTGTAAACATTTCTTCAGTTCTATTGTTGTATCTAAAAAATTATTTTTATCTGTCGTTTCAAACTCGGTGACAGTTAACAGTGACCTTTGACTTAACAAAAGTGGCTGTCATTTTCAAATAGAATTTTTGAAAGTCAAAAATGATTTTTTAAATACAAATGTTTTCATATCTATTTCAATGCGTGAAATATTTTTCATGTGAACAATTTATCACGTGCTAATTTAAAAATATTTGAAATTGAAAAAAAAATGGTCATCAAAAAACTGCTCATTAGCATTTTGCTGCTTCCATTTTTACCCAGCGCACTGGGCGAATCAAGCACTCCAGACTTCAGCAAAGAACTCCCAGCAGAAAGCAATTTAACCGATGATAGAAGCGTTTTCGACTATGATTACAATTCGGACAGAACAATTTCAGTCGAAAATACATCAACAAGTGAGAACTCGACAGAAAAATCTAAAAAATTGCCACACGGAAAATGCTTCAAAGAATCCGATTGCCTTGGAATCGATTTTCAGGAAGCTTTTAACGATAGTGAGTTAGCTTGTTGCGACTCAAACGGGGTCGAAAATTCTCAGAATTTGACAACCTATGTTGGATTTTGTTGCTATAACGGAACCCTGTTAAACCCTTCGAACAAACGAAAATGCATGACAATAGCAATTTTAGCGATGTCTCTTGCCTCGTGTCTGATTGTAATCGGATTCGTTTTGTTCCGACTCAACGCGAAATACGATCCGAGAGACGAAAAAATTACCGCATTCAGTCATTTAGGATTCACTCAAGACAAATCGCCTCCCAAAAGAAGCAACATGTCTCTACCCGTTGAAAAACCTTACGTGAGTTGCCCGCTATTCGAGGAATCAGCCAACGAAACATCAGAAGATGAAATGACGTCATTTGGAAAATCAATCAATGAGAATCTAGAGAACCGCCTGGCTTTTGAAATGCTTCAGGAGGACTTTGAAGAGACTTTGAAAGAAGAAGAAAAATTGATGTCGTATGACACAAGATATTACATGAGAGAAAAAGCAAAAGCTTCAAAATTGTTTGAAGACGGTAGTTTCGGCGACGCCTTCCGACCGATTCAGAAAGAAGACGACTTCAATGATTTTGTTGGCGAGGAAGATCCAAAACTAGATGTTTAATCAATGAACACGTCTAATCAATGCTTTTTCCAGTTCGTTGTGAAAATCAATAGTTATGAGAACTTTTTCAAAAAAATGTGACATTCGTGCGGTATGAATGGTTCAAAATTGAAACAAAAAAATCTGTCTCTGAATTAGAATTCAAAGATTAAAAATTTCTAACATAGTGGGGTCTTAGGAAATGGTACAAGAACTAGAAAAAAAAACTAATTGAAATACGAGCAAGTTTAGATAAAGACGTGACCAATTCTAATTTTAAAACGTAAATCAATTAATTTAAGAAATTGACACTTTTTATATCACTCTTATAACAAAATAACCAATTCAACTTTAAAGAGCCAGTAGCGGGACAACCAGAAAAGATAAAAATAATTTCATTATCCAACTCAAATTAGTCATAAGAAAGCTAGCTATCAATGACTTTCAAGTGCCAACTTCGAAAATATTCAACGATTTTCTTTAACTAAATTTTTTTTTAGCTTTGAAGTTTTGATTATGATTAACAGTCAGTTGACTAAATTACTTTTGATGTTTCATCAATTTTCGAATAACTTTTCCTTTCATCAGCAGTAATCTGTGTTCCTTTTTGAATTGTTGCTTTAAATATTGGAATCAAAGTTTCTGAAGTTCGGTTAGAATAACATACAGTGGAGAGGATTCAGCCGTGTCTCTACAAATTCCTCAAAACCTATTGTTCATTGACAGCATGCGCACATTTGTAATTTTTCTTTCTAAAAAAACTCTCGTCTATCTCTACGGCTTTGTCAATTCCCTAAATTTTCAAGGGGGTATCTAAGACGAGTTTTGATGTCTGCATTTCTCTTATTACAACGCCATCGATACTTTTTCTCAGTTAAATGAAATTTCACTGCAGATGCACAATTATTACAGCATCTATCTGTATAAAACAATCCGTTTTCAGTTGGAAAATTGAAAGCGTCAGTTTCATCTTGTATAATGTTGTTCATTTTTATCAAATTCATTTCGCATCTTTTTCAAGTTTTTCCATGCGGAAAATTGGATAACACTGCAACTTCTGGTGTCTTATACAACATCCGTTTGAACATCCATTGTAAGATTGATGTCAATAATAAAGAAAACTCTTTTTTGAAACCTCAAAAGGCGGAAAAAAAGCCAACTGCTTGTATTAAAGCAAAGAATTCATTATTTGGATTGCAGTTTGGAGATATATGGTGTAGTGATTGCTTTATACAGATGAAGTAAAATTTTAACAAAAAAAGAAAAAATATCTGCAAAAAATCATCCGGCACTCATTATGTCAAATAATAATATATTTCGATTATAGTAAAGTAATATCTAAGCCCAGATTTTTTGATGTCTGATCGACTTTCGGAAAACTTTTACTTTCACCAGAAATGTTGCTTTCACTATTGGAATCAAGGTTGCTTAAGTTCGGTTAGAACAAAATAAAGAGGGGAGGATTCAGCCATGTCTCTATAAACTCCTCAAAACCTATTGGTCTTAGACAGCATGCGCACAATTAAACATTCTCTTTCGAAAAACTCTCGTCTAACTCTACGGCTTAGTCCAATCCCTCATATTTTAAAAGATTGGCTAAAAACACTTGCAAACAAACTTCGTTTCAACCAAAAATGACTTATTTAGAAGACATGTCTTACTCTTTTTGTCAACAAGCAACAGTTTGGTACTCATTTGCCAAACAGTAAACATATAATGTGAAATTGCTGTATAAATGTGCTATGGAAAACAGATTCTACTTTTCATTTGGGTATTGATGTCTGCATTTTTTTAAATTAAAATGCCATCGATATTTTTCCTCAGTGAAATAAAAATGCACTGAAGATCCACAATTATTACAGCATCTATCTGTAACTAGCAATCCGTTTTCAGTTGGAAAATTGAAAGCGTCAGCTTCATCTTGTATAATGTTGCTCATTTTTATCAAACTCATTTTGCATCTTTTTCAATTTTTTTTCCACGCGGAAAATTGGATAACAATGCATTTTCTGGTGTCTTATACAACATCCGTTTGAACATCCATTGTAAGATTGATGTCAATTGGAATAAAGAAAACTCTTTTTTGAAACCCCAAAAGGCTGAAAAAAAGCCAACTGCTCGTATTAAAGCAAAGACTTCATTATTTGGATTGCAGTTTGGAGATATATCGTGTAGTGTTTGCTTAACACAGATGAAGTAAAATTTTAACAACAAAAAAGAAAAAATATCTTCAAAAAATCATCCGGCACACATTATGTCAAGTAATGATATATTTCGATTATAGCAAAGTAATATATAAGCCCAGAACTTTTGATGTTTGATCGACTTTCGGAAAACTTTTATTTTCACCAGAAATGTTGCTTTCACTATTGAAATAAAGGTTGCTTAAATTCGGTTAGAACAAAATAAAGAGGGGAGGATTCAGCCATATCTCTATAAATTCCTCAAAACCTATTGGTCTTAGACAGCATGCGCACACTTAAACTTTCTCTTTCAAAAAAACTTTCGTCTATCTCTACGGCTTTGTCCACTCTCTCAATTTTGAAAGGATTGGCTAAAAACTCTTAAAAATAAACTTCACTTAAATAGTTGTTTCAACCAAAAATGACTTATGTAGAAGACATGTCTTATTCTTTTTGGCAACATGCAACAGTTCGGTACTCATTTGCCAAACAGTAAACATATAATGTGAATTTGCTGTTAAATAAATGTGCTATGGAAAACAGATTCTACTTTTCATATAGATATTGATGTCTGCACTTCTTTTATTAAAATGCCATCGATCTTTTTCCTCAGTCAAATAAAAATACACTAAAGATCTACAATTATTACAGCATCTATCTGTATCTAGCAATCCGTTTTCAGTTGGAAAATTGAAAGCGTCAGCTTCATCTTGTATAATGTTGCTCATTTTTATCAAACTCATTTTGCATCTTTTTCAATTTTTTTTCCACGCGGAAAACTGGATAACAATGCAACTTCTGGTGTCTTATACAACATCTGTTTGAGCATCCATTGAAAGATTGATGCTAGATGGAATAAAGAAAACTCAATTTTGAAACCTCAAAAGGTGGAGAAAAAATCTAATTGCTCGTATTGAAGCAAAAACTTGATTATTTGAATTGCATTTTTGAGGTATATGGTGTAGTGATTGCTTTATACAGATGAAGTAAAATTTTAACAAAAAAAGAAAAAATATCTGCAAAAAATCATCCGGCACACATTATGTCAAATAATAAAATATTTCGATTATAGCAAAGTAATATCTAAGCCCAGAACTTTTGATGTTTGATCGACTTTCGGAAAACTTTTACTTTCACCAGAAATGTTCCTTTCAC